GTACTTTTGGTCCCTTAAGTCAGCAAACATTTTGTTAATTCCTCTAAAAACTCCAGAGCAAAAAAGATATCAAGGAAATGGTGACACCTGCTGGAGATGTGGCAGGGGTGGTGCCAATCACTTCCATATTTTCTGGAGCTGTCAAACCATCCAGCAATATTGGTCTCAAATTAATTACGGAACATTTTTGTATTTAAACTAACCTAATCTAAGATAGATTCTGCTAATCTAATCTAGAGCCTAGCAGTTTAGATGTGCCGTGTGAATAAATATCTGTTATAAATTAATCCGTGGAGGACTGTGGTGGGTATAGGTGTGTGAGTCTGTATATTTTAGACTTATGTGTATGTAGAGAACTATTCTGAGTCAACTGTAAGCTAGACCTAAATATAAAATGTATAGCCCTAAAATTTATGTTGTGGTTTTTGTAATTGTGTTGCGGCTTTTGTATTTGTTTTGTGGCTTTTGTAATTGTGTTGCAAAAAAAAACTTCCAGCTTGCAGCCCCCTCAGATTGGAATGAACTACAGGACTTGACACTTGAGTTGGTCTCTGTTCATGTAGTTAAGGCCATTTTAAACCAGTTTATAAATAAGGTATCTTCAACTCCATCAACCTGCCTGGGATTTTTGAAGGAAAATGGCTGCTAAATTGTCAAATTCAACATATTTAACATTTTATTAATACTGCAATCTCCTGATTTGAATAATTAAATTCATTAAAGATAAGCCAGACAACCTTTAAGATAAAAATGGAAAAATAAAAACAAAGGAAACATTTTATGCTTTAATCTGAATTCACTAATGACCTTTATTTCCATTGACAGTGACTGGTATTCACCAAAAACAAGTGACTGTATTAAAAGTCCCTATCCTGATGGTGGAAATATGACTGTTAGCCACAAAGATCAAACATTAAGAAGAAACTTTCTGCTGATTGAAAAAAATGAACTTGTTGAAAAGCAGAATTATAAAAATAGAGCACATTTGTTAAACAGACTGGCTTTCTTGTTAAACAGAGAGGACACTTTTGTAAAAATGTTTTGCAAAATTATAAACACACATATGAGTAAATAAACTCTGTAAATAAGTTTAGTTGAGTTATTTTTCCCCCAAAATCTTAAATCCCATAAACACCAGTACATGTTTGCTGATTTACACTAGTAGACTTAATAGAACATAAGAGATTTAGTCTATAGGTAGAATTTTCTTCCACTAAAGACGTGTCTCCTTTTCCTGCTGAGCCACCGGTTGCGAGCTTTGTTCATCCTGTCCTGGCTGGCGGACAGGAATGTCCGGTCAGGGAAGATGTCCTTCAGATTGCTCAGGAAAAACACCTCCAGGGTTCGGCCAGCCTGGGCCACCTCTGAGTCTGGCTGCGCACAACAAACAGAGGAACAATTAAAACAGCTCGACATGATCTAATTCTCTGTAAATAGACATTCACCCAATGGAAGAGAACCTCAGCTTGTCGTTGCTCTTTGAACATTTTCACTTCTTGGAAGCTACATTTTTTTCTAACAATGAACTTACATAATTAAAAGTAGCGCAGTTCTTGAACATCAGCAAGATGTCATCAACAAACTGCTCTGCAGTGAAGTAATGGAGAGTGTTGCATTTGTCCAGTTTCCTACGGATGACTGACAAATCGATGGGCCTCTTGATGATCTGATAGTAGTTTCTGGCCTATATGGAATTTGGAAAGAGGAGAGGCATTTGACTCACATCCACATGTTTGAGATTAAATGTTTTTTTAAGTTAAAAAATTGTAATGTTTAAAAATACAACATCCTACATGCAGACAATAGAACAATAGCTTTTAGAACGACCTTTAGTGACAGTCGTGTTTAAGGAACGAAGGGTAATGCGAAAAAGCCCCTCCTGAGTCCCAGTATATGCCGCAGTCATACTTTTCATCTACTTTTATTTATTTATAATCACAAATTGGTTTTAAAATATTCTGTAACCAGTTTTTGATACCCGTTTTGAGTCCAGAGTTACAAAGTTGGGTATGGACTGTTGTTGCTTTATTGTTGCAAGCAAAGAAGACATTTTGTAAATGAAAATTTAAGTAAAATGTCAAATTAAACTTTGCAAAACAATTTTAACGATAAAAATAAAATTAAAAAGGTACTTATTTTTATTTATTTTTTTTATCTATGAAGATTCTCAGTCATCCAAGTCATGATCAATCTTGAAAAGTTCACTTTAGGCAACTGGACATAAAGATGAGAGGTGAAACGTCTTCTAGAAAACGTCACGTCCAGCTGCCTAAACGGAACTTTTCAAGCTTGATTTTTTATAGATTGTATATTTTTGAATAGTTTTATACACAAATTGCATTCTTTTTAAAATTTCCCATTCTTCACTTCAAGCCTAACTAAAACTATTGATGTACATTGACCCATAAAATTGCTGTTGCTAACGGTAACAACAGCAGGCCAATAGAAATGCTTCATTGCTCCTCTCTCCAGAGGGAAGCCTATCCCCAGAAATAGAGACAATTTTAAATAATGCAATTTGAAAAATACGCCATTTGTAAAACCTAATCTAAAAAAAGGGATTTCAAAAACAATTTAGAAGATGTAAAAACTAAATTAAAAAAAAAGAAATTTAATTAATATTAAATTATTTTTTAAAAATGGAATATGTTCCTATTATCCTTTTTTGCAAGAACGATGTTGGCAGAGACGCAGCTGTTGAACAGCCAGTTCCTCATTCGACTGAAATACTTAATCACAGCAAAGAGCTCAGGTCCTGCTGCTTAACACACACAATCAGTCCTGACATGGAATATTCAAGTACCATATATGAATTTCATAATAAATGTTTTATATATATATATATATATATATATATATATATA